GCAAAAAAGTACTGAATGTTACATTGTTTAGCATAAAGTCTCTGAACAATGTATAGATTTTTTAAAAAAAAAAATGAAATACACATTATATATATATATATATATATATATATATATATATATATATATATATATATATATATATATATATATATATAGTAAGTTCCTTTGAATTAAAGGACTTATCGCATGATCTTTCAAAAATCGTAATTTTATGAAAAATATTATTTATAACCTTATTTATTAAAATACTGAATACAATAAACATTGTTGAAAGCAGATTTTAAGAGATATTGAGAGTTGAAATTCAAATACGGCAATATGCATATTTCAGTCGGATTTCGGCGAAATACTGCTCTGACGTCATAGGCGACAATTCGGTGATAGAGAGATGAGAATATGCACACTATTAACGGAGTTATCAATAACAAATGCAACTAAATTACGAAAAATGTTGAAAAAATTAATTCCTTATATGCTTCTCAATTACTATAGAGACATTAATTAGTTCTAAAGTATAAGGCTTTTAAGATATTTTCGGTTTTTATTCAAAACATTTAGAACCTGTAGCTCTAATTCACTGTAATTACGGCAATGTTTCGGGATCGGGAAATTATTTTTCAAGATCGCCATCCTTTAATAACACATGAAGACTTGCATAAATTAATATTATATATAAAACGAAGAATAACAAAGTTACATAATGTTTAATTTGGGAATCAAATAAGTTAATACATGTGATAAGATGACGAATCAAATTGCATTGTTATGGCGAGTTTCTTCGTCTTCGCTGCGTCTCCCTCGCTATCGTCACTGCTATTTTTACAATGTTAACAGATTTTTCAGATTTTTTCTTGCCGACAATTCTAACATATAAGGTTGAATATTCAATTTTCTATCGATAAAATAAGTGATTTGATCGTCCACAACGCAGGAAATTCAGGTTGTATCGCGTATATTTTAGTAAGATTAATGAAGAGATGTTCAGCCATTGTCGCCTTTGACGTCACAGGGTCATGTGATCGATATCTAATTAACGTAGATTTTTAATTCAAGGGTTTACATTTGAGTCAATAATTGGTTGATTACCGCGCGATTTATCTACAGTAAAAACACAGAATTTATAAATTGTGGTCATAAGGAACGTAATACGCTTTTAATTTCAAATAATTTAGAAACATGCGATAAGTCCTTTAAGTAAATTCCTTAAAACAAATTCAGGATTTTGTTATTTTTCCTGTAAATTATTATTAAATATAATGTGATCTTTAATATAAAAAGAAAATGTAATATGTAGACACACTGTACTTTGTGCAATCTGTGACAATCTGATCTGGAAAATTAGTAGAATTATGTCAATGAATATTAGCTTTCGTTAAGAATGAATTTACTCAGGGTTTAATACGACAAAGAAAAACATTGCTATAAGGTACCTTACGAAATTACGACTTTAAACGAGACTACTGATATTCTTGTTTCATCAATTTGTTTGTCAATAACTTACCTCGTTTTAAAAATTGTTCATATGTTTGTTTGTATGTTGTTTAACGTCCCTCTCGAGAATTTTTCACTCATATGGAGACGCCACCACTTGACTGTGAAGAGCTGCAAATTTTGTCCTATACTCGGCACTTACGGCCATTGAGCAGTGAGGGATCTTTTTCGTGACAGCATCTACTGCGATACGGGAGCTCGGTTTATACGTTCTCAGCCGAAGGACCGGTCTCCACGTCCCACAGTGGGATTCGAACCCGCGACGTAAGGATCAACTCCTTACGCCGCGACTCGAGAGCAGACGCTCTAACCACTGCGCCACGCGTAGAGAATTTGTATTTACAATTTAACTTGCGAGAGGGTTACCGTTTTTGTCTGGCATACTATGTAAATGTTAAAGCACTGATAATCAGACTGCACGTCAGACTGCACATCAGATAATGCAAAAAAAATCTAAACTGTTCCGGATCAGAGTTGCCTTACCAGGTAGATCTTACAATGATAACTTCAGGTCGTCTACAAATATTTTTGAAAAATAACAATAAGCTCAAAATATACATAGTTATTAAAATGAGTGCATTTAATTATTCAACTTTTAGTAATTTATGTTGTAATAAACACACTAGCTGGTGCAGAACATGAAGTAAAACTATCATATGTTTTTGATACTAGTGTTTAAAAACCGTCAGGCCGATTGAGCTATTATAAATAGGTTTGCCTTTTTAAAACATCGGTTTAAATTGCACTTAACATACCATCGTACAGGTATTTATTTGTTTACAGATCTACTTTCGTTTTAACTATCATTATTATTGCTTACAAATACACATGCCAGGAAACAAAATTCAGTTTTGTTTGTTATTGTTCTAAAACATGACAAGCTTTTAAATACACTCTATTCTGAAGAGCACTTTTATAGGTGAGTGCAGTCTTACATTAATTCAAAAGGGGTAGTTTCATCTTTAATGGTTTTCCTTCAAATAGTTATGTCTCATTGATATATCCTCTTTCTTCCTCCCTGTTTTTTTTTCTTTTTTGCCTCTCGTGCTCAGCTTACTTACTTCTCTGGATCTTTTCTATTGGTTTTTCTGCCTCTGAATTGTTCATCTTTCTTTTGTTTCATTACTTTTTCTTCTTTCTTTTCCGTCATTGAGTCTTCCTAAATAAGACCGTCAGACGCTACAACCAAAGCGCGATCTCATCAAGCTTATCCATCTCTTAAAAGACAAAAGATCGAAAATATTTCTGTAACAAAACAAAGAGCAAGAGCCACTTAGGGCCTTTTTTGGCCCTGAGAATTTTTGAAAAATCGAAACTGCTCAGTTTTGGTTAAAAATGCAGTATTTATAACTTGGACCCCTGGTGACCGTGTATCTATTGAACATGGCGTAATTTTCTTTCTAGACAATGCATTATGACGTCATAAAATGCGTCATTTTTACCATATCCTGTAAATTCCTTTAAAAATGGCCAAAAGTTGGAGTATTTTTTCAATATTTCATATAGAGCACAACCTCCGATCCAAAATATGCAATTACATAATGAAAGGCCTGTTTTTTAAGATCATAAAACATGTTTTAATTTTTGGATCGAGGCTGTGCTCATATTTTATTTCTTTGCTGAATGTAGTCAGATATGCCTGTTTTCAACACAATTCAAGAACATTGCATTTTCACAAAGCCTGTTTTCCAATACCTGATTTCTCCAAAAGAAATTTTGTTATAGGAAATGAGAGCGCTAAGTCTCTACTTTATTTTGATATATGACATGGGACAGAAGGTGATAACCATTTAATTGATACACGAACAGGGCCATTTTATGCATAAAGTGAACCTAGCTCTTTATAACTTAATTGTTAAAAAAGAAATGCTAGGGGACTTTGTTTATTTAATTCTATTGATTTTTTATTGAATAATTTACCTCCAGAATGCCCAAGAACCCTCCCAAATGTATCCATTTAAAAACAGTTCTCTGACTTGGGGGAAGGGGGCTCCAAGACACATCCTGCATCCTTATTTTCCAGAAGTCTGGCTCCGGGCCATAAAACTTAGATGATATCACTTTTGATCTCAAGCTCACTTTACCACCAATAATTCCTTATGGAAACTTGAGATTGAGACCAAAAGTGAGCTCGTCTAAGTTTTATGGCCAAAGACACTGACGACCCTGATTTTTCTTTTTCTGTCTCTAATTTCTTGAACTTGTACTTCTTTTCTGCCTATGATATCTCATCTTTATTTTTTGTCTCCTTTTTCTTACATGCCATTGATTTATTCTCTCCCTTCCTACGTCTAATTCCTCCTTTTTCTGCCTCTGATCATACATCCTTCTTTTCTGCCTTTGATTTCTTATCTTTCGTTTATGTCAATGATTTCACAGCTTCACAGTTTCATTTCTATCTCTTTTCTGTCTTTTAAGTTATTGTTTTCTTTCTATTCTCTGTTTAATTTCTCATATTTTTCACTGATTGCATCTCATTCTTTTCCCGCTTTTTTATGTCTCTTCTTCTATTTTATGATACATACTTTGCTCTCATGAATATATCGCCATTCCCTAGTCATATTTTACAGTGCCATTACAACACAATCTTTTAGATACGATTTGATAATTCAGACGGATTTTTTTCTTCTTCATATTTTCGAATTTTGCTGATCATCCATCGTTCATTATGGTCGTTCTTTGTAAGAACAGACATCTAAGCTATTGTATATCAATTGACAAAATTCCGTAGATATTTAATACAAAATACCGACGATGTTGAAAGGAGATTATAGGTTCACACTCCATGTCCTATATCAAGAAATAGTAACATGTATAAACTAATTTCAATTATACCTCTATATGAAGGTGTGATTGAGAGAAAAAAATTGAACAAAAAGAGCGAGAGATTGGCAAAAATGAAATGTGAATATAAGGGAAAGTATTCAAGCTCAAAAGTTCATTGAAACAATACAAATCGGGAGCAGAGCAAACACGGACCTCCAAAAACATCAGAGGATCAGGTGCCATTGAGGAGTGAGCATCTCCTGCCGACCGGTCACACCCGCCGTGTGTTCCTTGTCATGATCGGGAAATAACGGGAAAATCTGTCGACAATTCAGTGTGTAAATAATGGCCTAATAATTAGTATGAAAAACGTTAGTCCTATGACTTAATGATAGATTATATTTGCTGACAAGGTCATTGTATGATGCAAAATGATGACTTTAAACGAGTCTGTTGATATTCTTGTTTCATCAACTTGTTTGTCAATAACTTACTTCGTTTTAGAAATTGTACTTACGTAGAGCATGTTCTTGCGTATCGAATCAACTGAGATATACACCCCATATGCAGGTGATAAGGGTATATTGCTACATAAGTAAGGGAAGGTGACGATTGAAAAGTTAAAGCCATCACGTTTATTATAAAGCTTTGTTGTAGTGTACGGTCTATTTTGTAAGGATTTAAAATTAAGGTATAATATCTTAAATAGTCTAGTCTTTAATTTTGATATTTGTAGAGAATACAGATGGCTCATAACAAGGCACTTGCTGATTTACTCTTGTCTGCCATAGGCTTAGTTTTCTGTGTCCTTGCCATGACAACCCCTGGATTCTTTGTCGATCAGGTAATCCAAATCTTTTTTTCAAAAAATAATAATGAAATTTCATTATTTTATCATTTAATACATTGAAAGATTGAGAGAATACTAATATGTTATACTTATGAGGAGTTACAAGCAAACCTTTCTTTGTATTTTATTATAGACCGAAATGAAAGGTGTTTTTTATACCAGATTGTGTGGATCTAAAACATGTTCTACGTTTTCTTACGCAGATCTTGATATGGAATACAATACCAAAGGGGCATATCTTCTCTGTAAATCTCTCTCTCTCTCTCTCTCTCTCTCTCTCTCTCTCTCTTTCTCTCTCTCTCTCTCTCTCTCTGGTTGTTTTTGCCTGTTTATTCTTGAAAAGAGGTGTACTCGCGTATGATTATTTATATTTTTGCCTGTTTATTCTTGAAAAGAGGTGTATTGGCGTATGATTATTTATATTTTTGCTGTTTATTCTTGAAAAGAGGTGTACTCGCGTATAATAATTTTAAGAATTGCGGATTTTTTTTACCTTCCCATTAGTAGGTAACATTGTACAGATAACATAAAGAACAGTAAGAAATATCACCAAAGTCTTCAATAGAGAAAAACAGACATCAGCTATTTAAAACATTATCATTCTTTCCTCTAGCAATGATAGATGTACAGATAGAGAGCCTTCTTGCTGTTTTTCTTGGCGGAATAGGTTGGTTTAATCTTTATCGAATGCCAGGAAGAAACTATCATCTCAATCAAAGGTTTTGATTGGAGGAATTCTCCTTCTTGTTGCAGGTAACGACGCTTTTACTTACTGTTACTAGTGCTTCAGCTCTAATACTGTACATTAAAAAGTTATTTTCTCCAATGTGCAAAAACACATGTCAATACAATCTTTCATTCTCTTTCATTCTTAGTAAGTGGTGGCTTGCTTAGTTCACTTCACAGTGAATTTTAAACGTTAACAAATACAGTATTTCTATGTCAAAACGATTGTTGGAAAATTAAAAAAATAATAATAATACAGCTTTTTCTATTGTCAAAATGTTAAACTTCTGTTCTCTTGTTGTTGGTCAACAGCACACAAACGTTCAATCCATCAATGAAAAACAAAATAGATTTTTAACTTAAATCTATGAAAGTGTATGAAATAATTATTTTTATTTTTTAATTTAAAGGTTTATCTGAGTTTGCCGTCCTAATACGATTTACCGCTTTAAACGCCTCTAGAAAAGCAGCACTAGAAAAAAACAGTCTCGGGTCCATGGGGATTCCATATTCTCTTATTCTTGCCAGCTTTGGCAGTGTATTCATTCTATTTACTGTGGTGAGGATTTTCAGCAGCTATATAAAAATCCAAGGAACCACAGAGGATAATCAACAGGTGACAGCTGAACCGTGGAGGAATATAACCGAAAGCATAAGATCAAGTTCAAGCACTTTAAACTAAATGACAATGCTTCATTCATGTTTCGTAATAAACTGAAGTATTCTCTCTGTAACTTAAAAAGATTCATTTCATGTATAAAATTATATAAGCAATATCTAAGAGAATCATAAATGTTTTACATGTAATTTTTCCATTTATACATGTATAATTCCACTTGGAAACAGACTAAGTCTATATATCTTGGAAATTACCATGAAATTTGAAAAAACATATAATTATGTAATTAAAGTTGTTTTCTTTTCTTTCTTTTAGATTCAAATTATCATATGTCTTTATCATTTTGAGTACATTGAGTTTCAATAAGGGTTTGCAATCTAAAGAAAAACTAAAATTTGGTATTATGAACTCTTTCTGATTGATACCTTTGTTCTACCTATTAGAATGCATATTTATTTCATTTGTATCTGTGATCATTTAGTTATGTCTGTAAATCTCTCAGCAATGTTATAGTTAAATGTTAAAAGGTTCTATGAAATAAATTCAATGAAAAATAATATAGTATTTGACAATTCCATCAATCAAAATATTCAATCAAAATTCTAATGAATTGATCAATCGAACAAAAGTACTTGCGAATGTGATAGAACCTTACTGTACTATATTTTTCCATCAATAGAACTATATTTAATAATACAACACAAATGTATGAGAGTGGGATAATTGCTAAAACTTTAACTAAATTTTTTCCTTATCGTAAGAAAGTACGCTCATAGGCATTCGGATTCTAAAGTGACAGGATTAAATATCTTACAAATTTCCTGTTTTTAAACATCCTTAAAATTAGATAATCGTTATGCATAATTTTTTTTAGAAATTAAACAAACAGTACAGACTTGCATCAAATTAAAAATAAAAACTGATGTGTTTTTAAAATCAGCAAGAAATAAAATTTCTTTAAAATATATTCATTCTTTTATTTAAATTTATTTATAACCCCTATGACTTAAGAAATGAAATATGACCCTATATTTTTGTTCTTTATTACAACATAGAGGATATAACAATAATATTCATGCAACATTTTATAAAAAAAAAAAATAAATAAAAAAAAATAGCATTATTCCTTCACTGAAATGTAGAAACATATTCTGTTCATAATAAATTTTCTAATTTTTTAAGTGAAAAACGGTCATGATTCATGTTTTAGACCAAAACTAAGACTATTATTCTTGAATATTTATTTACATAAAATATTTTCTCATATTCATAGTAATTTTTTTAAACATCAGTAGTTTAAATTAAATATTTCATTTTTTCTAAGTGCAAAAATGACAAGTTTTACTGGCTTTTACTAAGAATCAAGGCATGTGTCACCTTCATTTCTCCATAGTATTTTTATTCTTCATAATAGTAGATATAAAAAAAATATACTTCATGAAAAATTGACAATTCTATACTTTAAGGTTCGTAACTCTTTCAAGCTGAAATAAACTCTTAAAAACGTAACGTATTCATCAATGAACGAATTGTCTCATACTAATAAGCCGCAGTTCGCCATATTGTTTTTCAGGATACCTCGTCGTATTGTAAGGATATGTGCCTCAATGTACTCGTTACACTTGAGTAAATTGTTGGTTTGGCTATCGATTCGTGCACATCTTCGATAGTGAAGCATTTGGGAGCACCTGACATGATCAAAACGTAAACATAAACATAAACCATAACAGACATAAACAGTCATAATGAAATTTATAAATTATTATTGCTTTGAAAAATATATATGCAATTTTGGAATAGTTGCGCGTGTAATTTTCCTCAAATAATTGCATTAAAACTCGTACAAGCAATTTGCAATTATCTACAGTAGCAATGGAAGAAAGGCAACATCTATGGTACAAATGTCCATATGCATTCTAAGTCCGTCGGATGAGACGTTTAATGGTGCCCCTTGTCAAGGATTACAACCCTTTGGTACGAAAGAAAAAATCATCTCTCTTGAGATGAATTGAGAAGTTTGAAACATTCGTCTATAGAGGTGATCCTGTCCATTTTGTAAACATTGCAGACTATATATTTATGATGCCACGGTTTTTTTTAAATTGTGCTGTAAGAGTTACCTGCCTCATAATCTAAAATGAATTATTTGACATTTACGGTGTATCATTCAATCTATAATCAATTCAGGTGGCAAAAATACTTGAATTAAACACTTTAATTGCATATATTTTCCTCAATTCAGTAGGCATCCGAGGCCCATTGTCATGACTGTAGTAGATTAAAATGTTATGTGATACCTTCTGAGAAGGGACCGTCTATACTTGTTATAGATATCTAGTTTAAAGAAATTAACATTTGAATTAGAGCGAGGCAACATTGTGAAGTAGGAAGTTTTTTTCTGACTATAGACGGTAAGAATAAACTAACAACTAAATTTTATGAAAAACGAGATGACATTAACTTTTCAATCGTCAACTTTCCTTATTTATGTAGTAATATCCCTTGGAAGAAGGGGATCCAACCCATTTTTCTCTACTGCACTATGTAACTGTAATAATACTGATAATCGAACTGCAAATCAAATGCGTTCCATACCCCTTAAATTCCCGTTAGATCCGCCAATGATCACTTCAGGTCGTCTATTGGTAGATTTGTAAAGAAAACAACGTCAGAGTTAACATGTATTTATTCTTTTCTATTCAGTTATGATGATGTTGTAATCGACAATATACAAAATTGGTTTATGATAACGAATGAGTTTGATACTAGTGTTTATAAGTCGTCCGACCGAGTGAGCCAAAATACAGAGGGGGTTCCTTTTTAAAACATCGGAATTAAAACATCTCACCAGCAAAGGAATACATGTATGTATTTGTTTACTGATAAAATTTTGCTGTATCTATCATTTCAAGAACTGACAAATATACTTACAAGGATATTAAATGCAGTTTTGTTTGAAATAAGTAATAAATATGACAGTCTCAATTACATATCCATACTGAAGAACGCTTTTAAAGATAAGTTCCGTCTTACATTAAGAGTTTGGTTTTGTGTTCAGCCAAGTGAGACTCAAATAAAATAACACTTTCAATATCTTAATGAATACTTCTTGCTTACTCTTGAAAACTGACGTATGGCACCCTTCTTAGGAAAACTATCTTGAGATGAATGCACTTTAATTGTCACTTGCAGTATCTTACAGCAATAATGTGCATATAACACTTGCAGGACTGCACAGCTACAGGTCAAACAAAACAATAACACGGCAGTTGTACATATGCAGACAGTTGAACGTCATGGGTACAATTATTTGTTTCCTCCCTAGCTATTATATGTGCACTTTCTACGTAAATATCTGTTTTCATCACCTGGGCCTATCGGCTATGCGAAATTTGTGGACTGCCATTCGGATATTGAAACCTACAGATTATTTCTGTAATCTGATGTCTCTTGTGCCCTCATTACACAAAGCAATTTGAGAGATATATCTCTCAAAACATCTCTCAAATTATCTACAGATATTAGAACGTATTGATCGAGATGTTGAATATTGTTTGTTTTTATACTTATTTGTTATACTTTTTGAGTATGACAACATCCACGATCTGAGGCACATCAGTTTTGAATAGGATAAACTTTATAAGATGGATCCAAGAATTTCCACGTGTTACTTGCAGACCATTTGTGGGTAGCAGGGAGTAATTAAGATTCCCCTGATAAATGTCACTGTGTTCCAAAATACCTGAAGTACTAGTCCTTGTTTCAAAATGCAGTGAGGTCAAAAACAGGGTGCTGTGGAATGAAATAAAAGACGTCTTGATCGTATAGTGGTTACACAGACTTACACAGACTCAAGGAGTTCATTCGGTGCCCCTCGGATAATCCTCAGGGATATTAAGCATATGTCATATGTACTGTCTTCAGATTCCCAGTTTTGGTATAAAACCAATAGTTCATACAAAAAATTGAAAGAATGTAAGGTTTCTATTAGAGCTATATTGAAGATTCCTTTTCCGATCCCATGTCCTCTATTTCAAAATGTTCTGCGAAAAACTGTAAAACCTGAGACATTTTGATAACTAACACTTCTTTCACCAGTATTCCTACTGGACAGAGCTTCTATACCAAAACTTCGGAAAATCTGAACTGCAAATCTTCTAATGTTGTCTACGGAATAGAATGTAATCTTTGTGGACTTGTTTATGTTGGTGAAACCAAGGGATCACTTAATAAAAGAATATCTTATTTCAAATTCTTTAAGCTTATGCAACCAATTTTTCTCATTATTAGATATTTTGTCGTGTCCTAAGAAAATTCCGAGTGATTTAATAGGTTTATTTGTCATTTTAATTCTTTCTTTATCCTCTCGTGTGTTTTTAAGGGGTCCCAAAAGAATACCCTCTGTTTTTTTCTAAATTTAACTTAGTACCAGACATTTTCCCAAAAAATTGTATCTTTAATAGACGCTTTTAAGGATTCAGTATTTTTTCATTGGCAAAGTGCAATCATCTGCATGCTGTAAACATTTTATTTCGTCTGACTGTCCAATTTTGAAACCTTGTATATTTTCAGAGGCATTTATTTTTAATACCATGATTTCAATAACAAAAAGAAAGAGCAATGCTGAGACGGGACATCCTTGCCTAATGCCTCTTGAAATTGTACATTTTCTAGTTAACAAGTTATTATTTTTAACATGAAAATAAGGTTTGCTTATAAAATTTTATCCATCTTAGGAAATTTTCCCCAAAATTGAATTTTTTAAGAGTTTGAAACAAGAAGTTCAATTCAACTGAGTCAAAAGCTTTGTGGAAATCGGCTATCAATAGTATTCTTTCTTCATTATTTTCTTCACAATAATCGTATATATCTAGTATTAACCTTGCATTTTCACCAATAAATCTTCCTTTGATATATCCAGTTTGATTTTTATTAATGAGTTTGTCCAAAATCATTTGTAGTCTCTTTGCTAATACGAAGGCTATTATTTTATAGTCGCAATTTGTTAAATTAATAGGACGATAGTTATCAAGATTTATTAAGCTCCCTTTTTGTGTATGAGTGATAGAACAGAAGATCTCTGCGTAAATGATAATTCGCCTACCTCGAAAGATCGCAATAGGCTTTCATATAAATAAACTTTTACATTTTTCCAAAACATCTTATAAAATTCCACGGGAATTCCGTCTAATCCCAGTGATTTATTCAATTTCATATTATATACAGCTTCTGCACATTCGTCAATTTCAGGAATCTTATCGCAATTTTCTCTATCCTCATCAGATAGGTAATTAGTAAGTTCCGTTTTTTGCAAATATTGATTAACATCGTTTACTGCTATATTGCTAGACGAATGCAGTTTTTCATAGAAGGAACTTAGTGCGCTTAAAATTTCTTGAGTTTCATAAACACAGTTATCTCCCACTGATAATTTATTTATGACATTATGTGATTGGTGTTTATTTTCTTATCTTAAGAAATAAGAGGCGTTTTTTTTTTCTCCATCATTAATCCAACGAGCTTTGGCTCTTACCCTGGCCCCTTTTGATTTATATGCATATAACTTATCTAGTTCTTTTTCCAAATTTCTTTTATATATCATATTTATATTATCAGACTTAGACATTTCAATTTCTTCAATTTCCTTTTCTATTCGTTTAATTCTATTTTTTACGCTTTTGTTTTTCGATTTAGAATATTCAATGCATAGCACTTTTATTTGATATTTGATCATTTCCCATCTTATTTGTGGATCTGTTTGGTTGCTAATATTTTCAGGTAGATAAAAGAATATCAGGTCATAGGTTTCAAACAAATAATGGGGGTCAGCAGCTTTTATACAAGCATTTACCTAATAATTCTATTTTGTCAATGAAAGTTAGAATTCTAGAAAAGATTTACCACCACACAACAGTCTATCACTGAGTACACCTTTCCGTAGACAACGAAAAGAATTTTGGATAAGAAAACTAGGGACAGCCTTTCCCAATGGATGTAATGACAATTTCTATAGTGTTGGAAATCTTTCGAGTCCACAGTGTAACAATGTAAATGTGATGGGACTTTTTAACCATACACAGAGACGTAAGCGTAGTCATGGCCATCGGTCTTACAATAAACCTTTAATACACGATGTCTCTTTTGATTCATTACCACCTTACGTAAATCAACAGTTAGGTTTACATCATATCCGCACCAAACTTTACTCTGTCCCTTTAAAACTTTTACATAGTCCTCTTGAAAAGGTCATTGCAAATGCTGACTGACGTTTTTCATATTAATTGTTAGGCCATTATTTACACACTGAATCGTCGACGGATTTTTCCTTTATTTCCCGATCATGACAAGGAGCACACGGCGGGTGTGACCGGTCGGCAGGGGATGCTCACTCCTCCATGGCACCTGATCCCACCTCTGATGTTTTGGAGGTCCGTGTTTGTTCTGCTACTATTTTGTAATGTTTAATGGACTTTTTGAGCTTGAATACTGTTCGTTATCTATATATATTTCATTATTTGTGACTTGTTGTTATCTATAGAAACGTAACGTAAGGTATTATGACGTCACAACAAAGTTAATGTTACATAAACTCGCGGATAATCCATGACACAGGGTTTCAAATGTCATAAATGAAGTGAATTTTATTTCTTAAGAGTAACTATTGTGTAAGCTTCTCCTTAAGCCGCAGGCACCCCAAGTTAAACGCCCAAGGACGGCTTAGTGAATAGCTCTACGTTGGGACAAAACTATGGTGAATCAGTTGTGTTATTTGTATATCAAATTTTGGATATTCAGTTTTAGTGCTATATTGTCTGCTTCTTTCTTCTTTCTTTCTTTCTTTTTTTTTATATGTTAAAACAAGTAATTATTTTGGACTTTGTCCCTCTTATTTGCAGATTAGTGCAGTAGTTCTCGTGGGGACAAGTATTTAAATTTATACGTTCATCAAATAAATGATGCAGCAAAATAGCTTGTATTATTTTTTTTTTCAAGATGAAAATTGCATATAAAGTTTATTCTTTAATTGAAATGGTTGAAGAAAGGGAAATGGTGTCTTTACTGATCTTAAGCTATTATTGAATGAATACGTTTAAACAAATGCTACCAAGAATATTTAACTTTGATTAAATGTTCATTTTATGAAAAAATTTTATATGCTCAGTCTGACTTAGGTTTTTACACCGGCAGGGGAGAGATAAGAAGTGTGATGGTGGGATGTAAATCTTCGTATTGATCCATAAATTCCACAATATTCTTGTAGAAACCCTTAAGATTTGACCTAAATTTAAAAAAAAAAAAAAAAAAAAAAACTAGCCACCATTGAGGCTTTACCTCAAAGGTTATTTTGTTTGTGGATCTGCATTATAATGATACAGTTAAACCTTGCTACATGTATCTTGAACTTGATGGGATTAGTTATATATAGGATCTCCCATGGTTTGAGGTTGGATATGATTTTTTATACAAAGAGCCTTGGCGAAGGAATAAAAACACACAACGAATTGGATAAAAATCATATCCAAGCACAAATCATGGGAGATTCTTTTTATCACGTTTTGTACATCACTATCAATGTTTTACACCGTTTTAGTATATAAATCTACATTATTTTACTTCATCAATTTCACGCAAAACCCATTGTGACATCACAGCAGACGGATATGAAAAAAATATCCAATGAGTGATATCCACGGGATAAACATGGGATAAATAGCTTTATTTAGCTATTCAGGATTGCTTGATAAAGATATTTATATGCAGTTTTTCACAAAAATGATTTTCGTAAGAAATAGACAGAAAGTCGCAACACTTTGATAACATTTAAGCAAAAGATGTATTTCCATTTTTTGGATAACTGTACACGACCTTGTACGTTGAGGAATGGATAAGTATGATTGCTTCACACCGTGGTGAATTATTACCAATCATCTTGTTGACCAGAATTGACCTCCTTCAATCAAGGAGTAACCGTGTGGTCTCAAATGAATTGAATTATATAGCCACCAAACTTTTAGAAATATGAGTACAAAGTCTCTCAAGGAGGCGTCATTTGATGAGCGATTTTTACACGCATTGTTTTCAGAAGATTTCAAAGTTGAACACTAGAACTACATCAAGGTGCGAATATTTATACATGCTGAACAAATAACACATTTAAAAAAAAGGTGTGATGACATAGCTTAATCAAGCTATTCTGAATAGCTTAATAAAGCTATATAGCTAATTTAAGCTTCATGTGTATATAGCTAAATTAAGAGATTGTACAGGACCTGCTTTAAATGCTTACTCAAAATGTAAAGGTTTAACTTTCAACTTTCTTCTTTGAGAGTGATCAACTGATTGTCTGATGCTAATCAAAAATGGGTTTTAGTGGTATATTATTACAGATTTCAAATAGCAAGTCGTCCGTCTTATTTCGTTTTAGGAATATGACTTAGCTTCCTTTGATAAATTGGTGTTTATTTTGTATACATGTTATACATATTTCTTTTTTGAAGATAAAGATGGACCAAACCATGGGACTTGTTACTGATTTACTCTTGTCTGCCATAGGCTTAGTTTTCTGTGTCCTTGCCATGGCAACACCTGGATTCTTCATTAATAAGGTAATTCTAATCCGTTTTGAAAAAATAGTATAGTTTTTTCTGATTCTTGAAACATAAGAAGAAAAGAAACTATGACAGCAATTTCTGTATGTTATGCCAAAATAGGTACATATAAAGAATCCTCTCTTTATATCTTATTGTAGTACATTATGATGAGAGCATCTTTTACACCAGATTGTGTGGAATTGATTCATGTTCAACATGGTCTTACGTAGCTCTTGATGAAGAAAACAAAGGGACATCTCAGCTTTGTAAATTTCTCTCTCTCTCTCTCTCTCTCTCTCTCTCTCTCGTTATTTTTGTCTGTATGTACAGAGGACGTTTATATGGTAACTCGGCAAACTGCAGGAAAATATATAGAATCGATTATCGAAATCTTTAATTGAGACAGAACAGACATTAAATAAAAAAAACGTAACTATATCTCTTCAGCAATGATAGATGCACAACTAGAGAGCCTTCTTGCTTTAGTTCTTGGTGGAGTCGGTTGGTTGATTCTTTTTTCGAATGTCAAGAAAGAAGTATCATTTCCACCTAAGATCTTGCTTGGTGGAATTTTCCTTCTTATCTCAGGTAATAACGTTTTAACACATATTAAAGTACTCCAATTTCTATGATTAATATTTCAGGCTTCTGTTATCTAAAAAAAAGCTAGGTATCTAGTAATTTGTCAGAAACAGCCAAAAGTTCAAACCTTCTTTTAAAAAATGTAATTATTTGATATTTGCTACACGATAAGTTATAAATATTCTTATGTTTTAATTAACAGGTACATCTGAGTTTGTCGTCCTATTACGATTTTTCGCTATAAACGCCTCACATAAAGCATTAGAAGAGGGAAAAAATCCCATCAAGGTTCCATACTCCCTTATTTTTGCTGGCGTTGGTATTGTATTCATTCTATCTGCTGTGAAGAGAATTTTCAGTAGCTATATAAGAACTACGGAGATTCATCAACGGATGACGGCTGAACCAGGGAGAGATATTACAGAAAGCATGATCTAAAGCTTAATGATTGATTCAAATACACTTCTTTAATATGTTCTTTAAGATGTTACTTCTTTAATATGTTCTTTAAGATGTTTTTAAAAGCTTAAACTTACATTTGATGTTACTAATCATATCAGTATTATTTACAAGAATCGGTTAATATATCCCGTAAAAAATCATGTCAACTTTGAGAAGTCTTCTGGGTAACGCAACCAATAATAACCATTTCAGCCCATTTCTTTCATCTAGCCATGGAATTATTCTAAATCTTGTCATTGTTTTCTATTTTACCTAATAAGCATTTGACCTTTAGATTTTATATTCCTTAATCATTTTGATTACATTAAGAGGCAGTAATGTTTACCAATCAAAAGCAAAATTGCCAATGGATTCAAACAACTCATTCCGACCGATGAATTGGTCCATCATATCCAAATATCTATTAATTTTAATTTCCAACAGACCTTTTTCTGGTAATGTATATTTATATATTTCTTGGCATTGTTACGGTTCTTTTATTGTTTAAAAATTGAATTTATAATGAAGGGCAATAGACTGATTAGTAATTTGATAAATCGAAAAGTTCCCCTTTCTTGAAAGTGATCGAAGCTTTTGCATCAGCAAATCTAGCAATGAGGTTAAGGTCAATGTAAACAATCCTCTCCGTTATTGGAATCGGCATGTGTTGGGAATCGCAAACAATTCTTTTATTCAGAGATCAGCATTATGCATGTCTTTAATAGATTAATTTTCGTATATTTACATCCACTGAAAATTTCTTCCTTCATATCTTACGAAAACCTCGATCGTTTATCACTATTTACCCCCCCCCCCCCAAACAAGCCACTTGTTTAAATTTCTTGAGCAGTGGCTCTTCCATCAATGAAAAATATATACCGTACATATCAATAATATACAATATTTAACGTACTTAATCCTACTTTATATAATTATTTATACAAACGTAAATATAAACAAGAAAAATGCCTCTCTTTGTTAGCACGGGAATTAACTTTGAAGCTATTGCAGAAAAATTACATAACCCGCTTTAGTGGGTTATGTATTCTCTTTGCAAAATCTGCCATGGAACTTTGAAATGAATATCAATATCAAAATAATCAAACGTTAATATATTTCATGAATTTGAATATTAGTGTTTTCGACCATTCGCAACGGCATATATAGCTATTTGACTCGCTTTATATCATCAGAATGCTTGTTCTGACAAATTTTTGCTATGTGGAGAATGAAGAAAGTTCAAAACAATTGTTTCGCCGGTATCACTTTGATATCACAATGATTGATACATGTACGTTAATGATTAATTGTTTCTCCGAAGCAAGTATAAATTCAGCGTCAGTAGTTGACATTTAATTGATTAAAATTTGCGAGTGTGAAAACGAATAATGATCCCATAGAATAATTAACGGGGATCATTTTCAACATTTCTCATTTCTCATCTGTAGATTAAGTGGCATTACCTTTAAAATCTGCAAACCCTTCGTAAAGAAATGCCCCGTAGAATAATGCCCCTTGTAGATTTTATGAGGTATAAATTTTTCTTTTTTGGTTAAAAAGATTAAGAATCATAAATCGAGAGGCCTTTGGACCAAAATGCTCAACTAAGGATACATCAATGATATGTTGGTCTCTTAAAATCTTTCGAATAAAATGATCTGTCTTTTATGATAAATTGTCTGCATTAATCGTCTCCAATCTTCACCATATGGGAATGCTTCCATATTGATTTGACAAATGTATCACTGTTTCAAAGATATATAATTTTTTACTTTTCCTTATACTAAGAAACTCTCGATACCTCGAAGTCAGCGGGACCGAAGAAGGACTTCGAGAGATCAAGAGTCTGGAATTTTCTGGGTTATTTGACAGATTTTAAAATTAGTCTAACCGGATGTAATGATTTTCATTCATTTCCAGTGCTAATCTTACACACGTGGTTTAACAACGCTACTTCTTTGAATTCTTTACCGGTCACGGTAGCCTAGTGGTAGGGCGTTTGCTTCGTGATCGGGAGGAGAGGGTTCGATTCTCGTTAACCGTGTCACGTAAAACCTACGACGTAAACATTGGTAGTCACTGTTCCTTCGCCAAGCGCCCGGTGTAAAGACGAATAATGACCCCCAATCATATAATGTGCATTCAATTTTATTTGTAAACAGTAGTCCATGGGAATTTCATTTCAAATAGATAGAAGTAATTAAGAAGAATCCCAGTATAATGTACATTCAAGTCTGTTAACATGGTCGTTTGAGAATAGGAAACATACACATAAGAGGATTTTTTAAATCAACTTTAAAACAGTGATACATCTTCAAATCAATATGGAAACATTTCAATACAGTGTACATGTACATTGAATTAGATTAATGTTTTCAATTTTTTATGAAAGACAGACCATTTTATTGACCTTCCAGGTGAATATAAGGTTTTATTTTTCCTACATTGAACTAAAAATAGATTGAAAACAATTCTGAAAAGTCATTTCACCTGCATCCGAATTCCACTCAAGTGAACATAATGTTCAGGCACAAAGAATCGGAGAAGGGGGAGGGATTGCCTCCCCCTTTCTTTCTGAATGTAAATTTCTACTTTGAAAATGCTCATTGAAAGTCTCGTAACTACCCTCTTTTTTATACAGTATATTAAAAAAACTCTCCTACTTGAGTAGACAAGATGAACATAAAATTCAGGCACATAGAATCAGGGGTGGGATGGGGTGTCCTCCCCCTTTCATTTTCATAAACGTAAATTTTTATTCAGGCCTTGAAAATGATCATTGCAAGTCTGGTTGCTCTACCCCAACTTTTTTATACAGTAGAATAAAAGGAAATCCCCCTTACATCAATAAACTTTTTGAGGGGGTCATGAAAGATATTTCTATGGTAAATGGTCATTTTGCCTCTCATAATGCCCCATTTCGCCTTTCAATGCTATGCCTGACATTTATTTTTTCTACATTGCACCAAAAATAGATTTCAAATGCAAAATTAATACTGGTTATGCTTATGTTATCTCCGATTCTCTCACTGTGTTTGGCTAGGACTTGAGCAAATGTAAACAAGAAACTTGACATGTCTGCTTAATCAATTTGTATCAATTTAATCGTTGAATCATATAATAAAACAATTATTGCTTGGTGGGGTTTTTTTCTGTCAGTACGATGATTTTCCGCCATCGAAAAACAATGCTCACCTCGCTCTTTGAGCTTGATAAATCTATTACTCCTCTAGATTCTGAATCATCGCATTGACCTTAAAAAAACAACAATAATTGTATAATGTGATGAGATCATCGATTTCTTTCCAATTAAGCTCAGATGAGCAGTTTAGCCAACAAGTCTCTTGATTTAATTTTTTTGCCTCCTAAGATTTCAACCTTAATCCTCTTTAATCCACAAGGGATCATTATTCAACGGGGTCATTTTTCTTCACGTAGGGTATGCAGATTTTTAGGTTGATGACACTTTTTCTACGAGCAAGGGGGACATTTTTCGCCGTTGAATAATAACCGGGGGTCATTCGACGGCGAAAAATGACCCCCGATCATTATTCTATGGGGTCATTATTCGTCTTTACACCGGGACTAGAAGTGAAAGTCACGGGTCTTTCGGATGAAACCTCAAAAACCGAGGTCCTGTGTGACGGTAGGCGTTGCCAATATAAAGAACCCTCACTGCTCAATAGCCCTGAGTGCCGAGTATAGGTCTTAATTTGAGGCCCTTCATCGGAATATGGTGACGTCTCTATATAAGTGAAAAATGGGACGTAAAACAATATACAATCAATCAATCAATCTTTGAATTCTTCGGGTGAATATACAGATCTGCTATTTTTTAAACTGAATATAAAGCCCAAAAAATGTATATTGTCATTATATATCACTTGACACGTTTACTACGCTGTCAACAAATATAATTACTTTTAAACTACTAATAATCTCTTATTATTCATGAACAGATTGAGACATCATGGTGGCATATATTTCTGCCCCCCATTTGTCAGATTTTTTTTTCGACTTGTCAGATCTTTTGTTTTTTTTGTCAGATAATTATGTCGACTTGGCAGATCTTTTTATTTACTTGTCACTTATTCAAGTGTTTAAAATTCAACATGAAAATGTGTCCATGCCCAGTTTAGGCCATCAGTTGACAACATATTTTTCAGACAAGTCGGCATAAGTATCTGACAAGTCAACATAATTTTCCGACAAGTCTATATATTATCTGACAATTCAACATAATTTTCTGACAAGTCGATATGACATTCTGCAAGTCAAAATCATTAAATGACAAGTTGGCATAACATCTGACCAGCTGGCTTGTCAGAAAATTATGTCGAGTTGTCAGAAAATTATGTCGACTTGTCGGAAAAATTCATTTCCTTGTCAGAAAATTATGTCACATATTATGATGACAAGTAGATGTCAATTAATGGTTTGAACATGCTGTAATAACAAGTTACCGAGTTCCTGGTGGTGGTGATTTTTATCTGTCAAGTTGACATAATTATCTGACAAGTTGACCTTAATATCTGACAAGTCAACATAAACATCTGACAAGTCGACAAAAACATCTGACAAGTGGTGGCAGAAATATGCCACCATAATACATTCATCTATACAGGTAGGCCTCAAATTTTTAAACCAGTAAGATTCATTGATTGATTGACTGTATGTTGTTTTATGTCCTATTTGAGAATTCTTCATTCATTTTACACTCACTTCAAATAGAGATGTTACCATATACCCAAACGCTTCAAATTTAGACCTTTACTTGACATTTAGGGTTATGAACCCTAAAGTTATGGTGAGACCACATAAGGCGATCAAAGTTGTATATGGGAATGTGTAGGAAAACATCTTTAGAAATGTTCTTCTCAGAAATAGCAAAGACATGATAAGTCATTAAAATGGAGGCAAGTTTGTTCAAGTCATCAGTTAGGGTTAGGATGAGGCCACTTAATATAATTATTTAAACTTTTCAGTACTAAATAAATTCTTGCTTATCTCTTACCAATGTGCCCAGGTGAGCGATGTGGGCCATGGGCCTCTTTGCTTTATTTTGATCTTTTAGTTATTTTGTGTGTTTGGTTTATTAAGGGGGGAATAATAATATATAATCAAAAACTAAAACGCCTTCGGTGTTCATGATGATAATCACGTAAGCAAAATATTTGATCACATTATAAAGTTAAAAAAAATCTAGATTCCTTATTTAAATAAAATTCAGAGAGAGTGGGAAGAGAAACAAAGAGAGAGATATGTCGATTGGCAAACGCAGCATATACTCTATGATATAAAGTTTCGAAAATTACATACATCTTTCAGCTGTTTTCGGAATGATAGGATTTGCCTCCTAAAATCAATCTAGTCTTTCCTTTTAAATATTTCTTCAGAGAGTATTATGATGGCTCAAATTAATGCACTTGTTTTTCTATCGTCTGCCGTGGGCTTGCTTTTCTGGGTTTGAATTTTTAGTTGATGTAGTTCATACTCGATTTTGAAAGATTCAGATCTGGATATCTTTCTTATTCTTGACAACTTGAAAATAAATAAAAGAAAATACTCCTCGTTTGTTATATATGGCTTTAAAGTGAACCAAACATGTATTTTATTTCTCGTTATTTTTGTAGAAGACACCTAATTTCATTAAAATGGCAGACTTTTTAGCAGGCCGTTCTATTCTAGCCATATTTAATAGGTGTAAAGACATTTTAAAAAGAACAGTTTTCAAAGTTTAAGATTTAGAGCGGAACAATTTTGTACATTTAAATCTTCATTCAACTGCGCAGTACTGAAAATTGACAACAATAAAGAATCGAAATACCGGGTAAATAATTCTCGAGATTCTTACGCTCACCTGGTCAAGCAAATTTTACTGTGATTTTTCCCTCTCTTTTTTTTTTTTATAGTTTTCACTCCCTTGAAACACAAAGAAATATAATGACTCATCCATTTGTTTGACATATTTGTGTCCCGATTACATCTAATGTTTTGCATACGATATAATAGTACTCTTTAATACTTCAGTTTAAAACTTGCTACAGATACCGTTTTAAAAATTATTTAACTTTTTTTTTTTTTTTTTTTTTTTTTTTTTTTTTTTTTTTTTTTTTTTTGCATTTGAAGCTAATGTCAATTTTTCCTTAAAATAATTGCTTTAATTTATTTATAAATAAAAAGGGAAGATAACGAACAGTGATCGATCTCAAAAAATCTTTTAAAATACATATCTGTAAAGAAGCATAAACACGGACCTCTGAAAAATCCAGAGGAGGGATCAGGAATCTAGGAGGAGTAAGCATCCCCTGTCGACCGGTCACATCCGCTGTGAGTCCTATATTTTGATCAGGAGGACAGAACATTCCGTAGTCAAATTTAGTATAAAAGCAAAGGCCTAACAATTGGTATGAAACAATTCAGCCAAAAAAAATCTAATGATAGGTTATATTTGCTTACAAGGTCATTATCACGAAATGCTGACTTTAAACGATGTCGTTGAAATCCTTGTAACATCAACTTATCTGTCAGTAGCCTGCCTCGGTTTATTGATTGATTGATTGATTGCTGTTTTACGTTCCGCTCGAGAATTTTTCACTCATATGGAGAAGCCACCACTTGCCGGTGGAGGGCTACAAATTTTGACCTATACTCGTCACTGAGGGCCATTGAGCAGTGATGGATCTTTTTCGTGCCAGCACCTACTGCGACACGGGACCTCGGTTTATACGGTATCATCCAAAGGACCAGTCTCCACGTCCCGCAGTGGGATTTGAACCCGCGACGTAAGGATCAACTCCTTACTCCGCGACTCTAGGGCAGACGCTCTAACCACTGCACCACGCAGGCGACTGTCTCGGTTTAAAAACTGATCGTACTCGGGATAAGTTGGGAGATGTAAACACCATATCCAGGTGATAGCGGGATATTACTATACATAAACATTTGCATATGTTTTCCTTTATATAACATTGTTATATCAACTTCAGGGCACTTGTGTGTAGAATCAGAATGACAAAGTAATTTTTGTGATGACCAATCACAAGATAGGAAAATTTCCGACTTCCATTTCTATTGATGAAGCAGTTATCTATGATATCAAAAAAGCATAGTTTTTTTTCATTATTTTTCGTGAGGGGTGGTTGTATAAAGTGTAGAGAATTGGTACGTTTTGATGTTATTAACTTTTTGAAAAATTTGGCAATTTTAAATTTTCTAAAATATTATTAATTCCTTTTTATCAAGGGCTTGTTGTTAGACAAATTCATAAAGCATAATCGATCCCAAGGCGCGGATTATGGACTTTTCTTGAGGAGGGAGAATACATATCCAGTCCAGAGACTTTCTGACAAGGAAAAACTCAGCAAATATATTTCGTATATAGGGGGGTAGGATAAAACTCCCTTTTCTAAGATATAAAATAGTGCAAGTCATTTTTCAGCTTAAGATACTAGCACCTGAAATAATGTTGTTATCATCAGACTACTTGATACAAAGCCTGCCTGTTCAGGTGAGCTATAATAATGAGGGACTTCCTCTTTGAGAACACTACTTTAAATTTGGCGCAATAACACAACACAATACCCGCCAAAGAGAAGAGTCTACAGGTATGTGTTACTTTTAGACTTTTAATATATGGATCATCTCAATTTATTTACAAATATAATTCCAGGGACATATCACGCCGTTTTCTTTGATATTATACTTAAACATAACACGTTCCACATTACACATCCGTGCTGAAGAGCACACATGTAGGTAAGTAATCATTCGGTCTTTGCGAGCGATTCTTTTATTTCTCCAATAATTTTGTTTTTTCATTTTTCTGTTTGATATTTCTTCTTCTTTTTTCTATTTCTAAACAAATATCATTACGTTTTTATATGAAAGAATGTTTTAGGCCAAAAATAAAATACATTGAATAACAGATATGGAAACTGGGATTGATTATCAGTGCATCAAGATCGACTGCAATACGACGATAAAAATCTCCTCTTTACATTTGTATCGTCGATTCTAGGCAGTTGTCAGTCCGAGTTTCTGCTTCGTAATTTGAAAGATATTTTCTCTACTTATTCGGGTAATCTAAATAGCAATCAAATGGAGAATTGCTTATCAATTAAATGGAACTTTCAATATTTGTCAAGAAATTATTGTTTGTTAAGAATGCAAAGTATTCAATTGCTTATGTGAAAAATCGTTTAAGAAGAAAATACTGTTTGGCATATCCTTCCTCTATAGTCCTATCGTTTACATATTTTTAAAATTTGTCAATTTCATTTTTTTATCGAACATTTATGCGGTTTTAAACTTATTGATCGATTTTTTAGGAACGAATGAAGCCAGCTAAAAATTTAATATCCCTTCTTGTAATCTTCTGTACTTCGGAAAATATACATACAAGGGTTGTTAGAAAAGTTCGCGGACACATTGATTTGCGGAAAATTTATTGTGTTCTTTGAAGAATGGATCCGATTAAATTCTAATCTTTTGTTTTATGTAAAAAAAAAAATCAGGTCTATTTACTAAAATTTTGAAAATATACAATGATTCTAGCTGTGTGGTCATAGGATTCATCGAGCAATCACTTGACATTTTCTTGACGTTAGGTGACGCGACAACCTAATTCCAAACCTGTCAATCATTATCACAGTTTAAAATATCTTTATTTCTGTAGATTTTTCATGTCTTTTCCTACTTAAAAATTAAATAACTGAAGACATGTCACTTCTTTCTAAAATGTCTTTTGTGGCGTATCGGATATTAGTGAGACCTTAAAATTAATGTCTACGCAGTTAAGCGATCAGGTATGAAAACCATGCAAAATCCATTGCCGCAACGTCCATGGTGCGATTGTGGGGTTTTGGGGGTATCACAGGAGTGGATAATCTTTCATTCTTACAAATTGAATATTTTGGGACTAGGTACGTGTAGGCAATGCAAAGCAGCATCTAAATATATTTTAGTCTCTTTTGGGCATTTTCCTGTCTGCACACATAATTTTTCAATAGACATTCAATAACGTTGCCATTCTTGACAATGTTTTAACGCGTCTATCGTCTATAATTGGCGATAAAACAGTCATATTTCCTTTCTGATTTGATTCAAAATTTCGCCTCTTGATGTTTCATGAATATTTTTGAGACAGGTGAATTATCATAAATCTTAATGCACTACAACAGCGCAATTTTTAATTTCCAAATAACGCCTATGTAATGTAATCGTGCAAAAAAAGTGACATGCTCCGTGAAGCATGTTTTATCAAAATAATATAGCTGTATATTTTTTTTAAAAATCATCGGAAAATACCAAATCTTTGCATATTTAATGGAAATTACCTGTATTTTTTACCTGCTGAGTTTAAATGGTTTCATGCAAATAGCGCGCTCACAATAGAACTTGTCCACGAACTTTTCTAACAACCCTCGTATGTCTTAAAAAGCAATCTCTTGCTATGAATTTCATTATTACCACTGCGAATTTCTTACTTTTTATTGTAAAATCAATCTAAGATGAAAAGAGAGGGAGAACAAATGCAGAAACAGAAAGAACAGTCTTCATCATACATTATACATACATTGCAATTTTTCTTCTTAAAATGATTATATGTTGTTCGGTATTACTAAAAATAGTTTTCTGTTTGTTTTGGATACTTTTAGAGAGAATAAGGATGATGCTTTATCTTGAATTGCTATCGTCAGCCACTGGCTTGATTTTATGCGTCGTTGCCACGGCCTTACCTGGATTCTTTACTGAAGAGGTAATCATGACCTTTTTGAAAGATATAATATTGATTTCTATGTTATAATTGACTCATTGTAAAATCAAATAAGAGAAAATAATCGTCTTTTGTTGCGTGACAATCAAAGAAAAGTCATGCATCTTTATAATAATATAGGAATTTATTTTCTCGATGTTGTAGAATAGCAAATTAAGCATCTTTTACGGCAGGATTTGCATATCCGATAAATGCTCAACAAGCTCTTACGTAGCTCTTGATGAGGAACATAATACCGATGGGACGTTTCAACTATGTAAATCTCCCTCTCTCTCTCTCTCTCTCTCTCTCTCTCTCTCTCTCTCTCTCTCTCTGTACATAGTTATTAGATTAACTTCGATTCTCTGAAAAATCGTAATAGTTATTAGATTAACTTCGATTCTCTGAAAAATCGTAAAAGTTTACAAGTAATGTTTTATTGAGGAAGTACATATAAATATATATATATATATATATATATATATATATATATATATATATATATATATATATATATATATATATATATATATATATATATATATATATTAGGGATGTCAACGAGTACCCGGTTTACCGGGTACTCGATCGAGCGTCCGAGTATCGAATACTAAAAATGGTACTCGGTTACTCCAGTGGCGGATCCAGAAGTTCATGTGGGGGGGGGGGGGGTGGTTGAGGCCCGCAGGGCCGAAGGGGGGAGGGCATGGGAGGTGGTGTCCCCCTCCCATAGGTGGGGGTTCGAGGGGCCTCCCCTGAGAAATTTTCTTAAAAAATGACTCCAAATGGTGCATTTTCCAGCATTTTAGATTGAATTACTTAGTTTTTTGCCACTTGTTTTTCAAGATTGAGCTACCCAAATTTTCAAGAATTTGAACAGAAAATTGAAATTTTGGGGATTTATTTTTAACTTCCATGTAAACATGAAAAAATGAGACTTTAAAAAAAATAAATAAAAATAAAATCTGATAAAATAATATTGCCATTTGATATATAATATCCAATTCTTCATTTTAAAATGCACGTCTAATGTGTCGCATGTGAAGCTCTGACTACCAAAATACAACTGCATGATATGCATTTTCCCAACACTTAGAAAATTTGGATTCTGTGTAGAAACCCTAATAATTACTCTTTTCAACTACTTGACTATACTCTTCATATAATTTGCAATATAAACAAATAATGATATTTCATATTGAGGAATAAATATAAATTATTTTGGGAAAATGTTGGAATTATTGCTTATTCATTAGGGGGGATTATAATTTCGAACATAAATGCACTTTTTAATTCTATTTTTTTAATCCACTTAATAGCCCCGTGTTTGAAAAAAAAGTCTTGAAAAACAATCAATAAAAAAGTGGCCCATTCTCGTTTGGATAGGATCTCTACTTTATACATATCAGTTTTATCACAATTCATTATAACAAAGTTGTAACCAATAGTTGGGTTTTATCAAACATCATTGAACTGTAATTTTAAAAAAAATTGCATTTTTGCTTTTTAAAATTGGATTGTAACTTCCATCTACAACGGAACACTTTCAATGTGCTTTTTGGTACAGGTCACAACGTAAACAACTGGTAAACCATTATTACTCGAGGGGTCTACTTTCCCAGTAGTCATGAAAATATTGTATCAGGGACGTTTATACTATAGTATATACGTCCCTGATTGTATTAATTAATTTTTTTTCTAAATAATAATAATAATCACAGTTTATTCACGTAGTTCAATAAAGTAACATTCAATTATCGAAGAAAGAAAATTCTTGAAAGAATATTACTTTAGCAATGCCAAAACAATACCGTAATTTGGTTGTTAGTGTATGACCTTGTGAGTCTCATTTATGAAAGATATTGTTAAAATGACACTTGCAAAAAAAAAAATTTCGATTGGGCAGGGGGGGGGGGCGGGGATTCCCGAACCCCCCCCCCAAACCCCCCTGAATCCGCCCCTGTACTCGGATGTTTATTTTTTCTTATTTCAAAGTACATATTTTTATCAGAAGCTTATCCAAAAATTAACTTTTATATGCATACGGTAATTAGCGTGTCGTCATTTACACCTGTAAAACACCCCTTATTGCCTGTAGCAGTGTGTATACAGTAATTAGTGACCAATCAACTGTTTCACAGCTGTTCTCACCTATTGTGGTCTTTAATTTTTGGATGGCTTCAATGATTGTTTTCAGTGAACATCGTTTAAATATGGTCCATTATCTTCAAATCATTTTAAAATTATTAAGTTAATATACGGCAGCGAAATCGGACATGCTGGTACCCACTTCAAAAGTTGAGAAATATTTAAAAATAATTAAAGATTAAAAAAATATTGAAAGTCAGTTTGCGTAATAAGTTTAGTGTATACGGGGGAAACAACCAACATATGAAATAATATTAGATTAGCGATCCCAACAACGTCCTCTCCTTCTCTTTTGCCACAGGTACTTGGGTCTTGGTTTATAAATATGTACCTTATTGATATGTACTTTTTTACATATCAATAAGGTACATACATATTTATAAACCAAGACCCAAGTACCTGTGTCTTTTGCTAGTCTAATCACCACAAACCTGCGTAACAGAGTGTCCTCCTTTTGCGTTGATGAAATAGATCCTAAAGAAGAACTGTAACAATTTTTTTTCTAATTTTTTATGTATTAATTGTATCCTTTGTATTTATTTGATAAATAAATGTAGTACCAAAAAATCATCCCCGCTGGACTCAATGTTTATATACATTTATAAACGTGATAAAAACAGCTTTGGAGTTTAATATAGCTTAACGGGGCTCAAGAAAATTAACACACTTGTATTTATATTTTTACCGAGTAAACGGGTACTCGATCGGAAAAACGTCCGAGTAACCGATTATCAAAAATTGACCGATTTGACATCCCTAATATATATATATATATATATATATATATATATATATATATATATATATATATATATATATATATATATATATATATATATAAAACTTTATATATATATATATATATACACGGTGTTTCACAATATATGTCAAACTTCTAAAGGCAGAAAGAAAAATTACAACAAAAGCTACATATACATTTTAAATATCATTTTAATCAGCAGATATTCAAAATATTTATTTTAAGTCAGATGTATCCAACATTCTCCATTTCAGTTTCTATGGCAACGATTTCCTAACATGTTATAATGCACGTGTTTTCCTTACCATTGTCCATAATATCTTAAAGGACTCTTGTTCAGAAATTTCTGACCACTGCTTAGTACGTTTCACAGATACTTGACAGATTTCTTGTTTATATCTAGCTTTTTAGAACCCCCAAAGTGCATATTTATTATTTTTATTTAATGATGCATTTAAATAAATGTGTCATTTGTGAAACACCGGTTTGTGCAGACGTCCACTCCTCTCGCTCTTCCTTTCAATCAATTTTGCAAACTTAACCAACTCTGAATGTCAGTTGGCTTTAAATGCTGCAATGCTGAAATCTTGTATGCAGACACACTCAATTCAAATGGAAGATTTCTAAATACACTTGATATACTTACATTGTCACAATCCATTTCCCTAAACTCAGATCTAACTGACTTTCTTAAGGTTTTCTCAATGATTGACTTCAATTACTATGTTTTATTTAAACTGATTAATTAACCTTAATGAATAAAAACTTGAAGAGGGCTTCCTGGTCTGGATATTTTTCTTCATCACACCCTGTACAATATTTAGGATATCGTGCTTATAATAAAAGTTTACAAATTCAAATTTTTTGTTGCTAGTTGTACTCCAATTTGAGAACAGGTGAAATTATGACATCACTGATTACATCATCAGTGTACTTCATGGTAGTATAATTTTTCCAGTATTTTTGCAATATCATAATTACAGATCAATATGCTTGTCTATGGTATTTTGGTATTTTTTGTTTCATGCTTGATATTCAGATTATGCCCATTTAGATGTGTGACATATATTATGAAACACCCTGTATATATATATATATATATATATATATATATATATATATATATATATATATATATATATATATATATATATATATATATATATATATATGGGTGTGTGGGTGGGTGGGTGTGGGTGTGTGGGTGAGTGGGTGGGTGTGTGAGGGTGTGTGTGTGTGTGTGTGTGTGGAATTTTTATCGATGTCTTTTAGAAAGACAAAACAGACAGAAAAGTTTTAAATATAACCTTACCTTCCTTCAGCAATGATAGATGTGCAGATTGAGAGCCTGTTTGCTATCGTTTTTGGTGGAGTCGGTTGGTTGATTCTTTTTTGGAGTTCCAAGAATGAAGTGTCGATTCCATCGAAGTTTGTAACTGCGGGAATTCTCCTACTTGTGGCAGGTGACAACTTACTGCTTACGTGTTCTTTTGAGAGCAGAAAATAGAACATGATCTATCCTAATGAACAAAACATAAATGCGAGGGGTGATTAGACGTTCATGGAATGAGATAAAATCAATAATATTTAGGTTATACTTTAAAAATAATTTGCCAATTTATAATCAAATACATAGGTCTCACGACGGATGTGGCCGGTCAACAGGGCATGCTTACTCCTCCTAGGCACCTGATCCATCCTCTGGAATCTAAGGAGTCCGTCTTTATGCCCTGTTCAAAGATTTTAATTGCTTGAAGTTTTTGTATGAGATCGATCACTGTTCGTTATCTTACCTTTTTTCATTCATACAGAAGACATCATATTTTTACTCTGCCTTTATAAACTTTTCTTTACAAGATACCCTGGAGTTAAATACTGACTGAAACTAGATATTTATAATTTCATGAACAGCAGTTTCAAATCACAATAATAAGCCCTCACTTGACGTTGGCAGTCGGAGTTCAATTTACGTTACTTAACGTTACGTAACGTTACTTTTAAACTTTACTGACTTTGGAAACCCGGGCTGCAAAAAGGCACTGCATTTTAAGTCTCTTTGTGTGTGTGTGTGTGTGTGAGGGTGGGTGTGTGTGTGTGTGTGTGTGTGTGTGTGTGTGAATCTTTTAAGTCATTTAAAAACAGGTAATTTTAACATGCTTTGTATATTCGATCTCTACAAACATTTCCAAAGTCTAGCTATATACAATATATTCTAGCTATATATTCAATTTACCCTCTCCTTCGACGCCATTTTAAACACTATTTTTTTTAAGTATTCCCTATTGAACGTACGATAACAACTCATAGAAATGACAATAATCGGGGAGAAAATGTTCATTTTACTTAACAATTTCATCACATTACACAAGTGAACTGACGTGAAAATTAAATGGAAAATGTTAATATAAAAGGTGGTATATTTCTGTCATCTTCTTGTTTGTCAGAAACAATCAAAATCTAGATAATATTTTAAAATGTTTTAAATGTTATTAAAGAAACAATGTATCATAGTTTTTCAATTTTTTTTCTTCTTAATTTTTTTTTTCATTCATAGTTACGTCTGAGTTTGCTGTCTTCATTCGATTTATCGCCATGAACGCTTCTAGAATAGCATCACAAGGAAAAAGCAGTTCCAGCTCTATTGGGATTCCGTACTCCCTAATACTTGCCGGCTTTGGTATTATATTCATTCTTTTTGCTGTTATAAGGAGCTTTATCCTCTATATCAGACACGAAGGAGCCACAAAGACTAATCAACAGATGGTAGAGGAACCGTGGAGTAGCATCACTGAAAACAAATTGTAAAGTTAAACGACATTATGTTTAATGTTGATACAGGCGCATAAATAATATATCACTATATATATACTACGTGTACTCATATATAACTATATCACGTTTACTCCTTTATACAATTGTTTTCGGACATATTAAGTATTATATCATTATCATATCAACTCAAAAATTCTGATGATTTTACAATAGTTTTTGTGTAAAAATTTATTCATATATAAGAACAATGCAAAAAATGTGATAGCTGTGTGTAAAACAAGTGATAAGAAGAATCTCCCATGGTTTGTGATTGGATATGAATTTATCTCGGCATCCAACAAACTGTGGGATAGCAAGACATACGAGGGTTGTTAGAAAAGTTCGTGGACAAGTTCTATTGTGAGCGCGCTATTTGCATGAAACCATTTAAACTCAGCAGGTAAAAACTATACGTATTTCCAATGAATATGCAAAGATGAAATGTATGGAGATAACGAACAGTATTCAAGCTCAAAAGTCCATTAAACAATACAAAATAGGAGCAGAGCAAACACGGACCTAAAACATCAGAGGTGGGATCAGGTGCCATGGAGGAGTGAGCATCCCCTGCCGACCGGTCACACCCGCCGTGTGCTCCTTGTCATGGTCGGAAAATAACGGGAAAATCTGTCGACAATTCAGTGTGTAAATAATGGCCTAACAATTAGTATGAAAAACGTCAGTCAGCATTTGACTCAATGATAAATTGTATTTGCTGACAAGGTCATTGTATCGACCATAGAACTTACGAAATGATGACTTTAAACGAGACAGCTGATATTCTTGTTTCATCAACTTGTTTGTCAATAATTTACCTCGTTTTAGAAATTGTACATACGTAGAGCAATCTCTTGCGTATCGAATCAACTGAGAGATATATACCCCGTATGCAGGTGATGAAGGTATATTGCTGCATAAGTAAGGGAAGTTGACGATTGAAAAGTTAAAGTCATCACGTTTATCATAAAGCTTGGTTGTTAGATTACCATTAACGTCTTTTTCAAGTAAAATATCCAAATATGAAACAGATGTGTCAGAATCTGTGGTATCTTGTATCTCAAGCTCACCAGGATATATCGTATTGACATAAGAATAGAAATAGCCAATGTTAATGGCAATGCGTCGTCGATATATCTAAATGTCGAGTTGAAGGCCACAGCAAGTGTTTTCTTCTTTTCACGTACAAGATTTTGGACAAATTCTGCTTCATATGAATACAAAAAAAGGTCTGCTAATAACGGGGCGCAATTGGTACCCATGGGAATTCCAATAGATTGTTGGAAGACCAAAAACCACATAGATACTGTCAATCAGAAACTCAAGCATCTTTTTAATGTCAACTTCAGAGTACTTGTGTGTACAATCAGAATGTTTTTTAACAAAATAATTTTGCAAATGACCAATGACAAGGTAAGTATATATACGAGTTCCATTTTTATTGAAAAAGCAGCTGTCAATGATATCAAAAAGCCTGAAAGATCTGGTATTTTCCGATGATCTTTAAAAAAATATACAGCTATATTATTTAGGTAAAACATGCTTCACGGAGCATGTCACTTTTTTGCACGTTTACATTACATAGGCATTAATTGCACTGTTGTAGTGCATAAGGATTTATGATGATTCACCTGTCGTAACAGAATTCATGAAACATCAATTGGTGAAATTTTGAATTCAATCAGAAGGGAAATGTGACTGTTTTATTGCCAATTATAGACGATCAATGCTTAAAAACATTGTCAAGAATGATAACGTTATTAAACGTCTTGGAGCACCGAGCTTTTAAAAATTATGTGTGCAGACATGAAAATGCTCAAAAAGAGACTAAAATATATTTAGACACTGCTTTGGATTGCCTTCACGTACCTAGGAGCAAAGTATTCAAAATGTAGTAGCTTTGTAAGAATGAAAGATTATCAACTCCTGTGATACCCACAAAACCCCACAATCGCACCATGGACGTTGCGCCAATGGATTTTGCATGGTTTCCATACCTTAACCGCGTAGACATTAATTTTAAGATCTCACTAATATCCGATACGCCACAAAAGACATTTTAGAAAGAAGTGACATGTCCTCATATAGTTATTTAATTTTTAAGTAGGAAAAAGACATGAAAAATCTATATAAATGAAGATATTTTAAAATGAGATAAAGATTGACAGGTTTGAATTAGGTTTTCTCGTCACCTAACGTCATAAAGTGATTACTCCTTGAATCCGATGACCGAACAGTTTGAATTATTTTATATTTTCAAAAAAAATTTACATACTGATATACAAAAGTTTAGAATTTAATCGGACATACTAGTAAGCCATTCTTCAAAGAACACAATAAATTTTCCGCACATCAATGTGTCTGCGAACTTTTCTAACAATCCTTGTATATCAGTAATATTTACAGAAATCATCGAATTTATAAACCTCTTTTTCTATAACTTCAAAACTCAACTAGGAAGCGACTCTTATTTGATGCACATATTTTTTTCAATCGAGTATGATTACAAGAAATCTTTTTTCTTGGGTATGTTTTGTTTAGTCCAATTTAAATTATCCATAAATTGCTTTAAATAAAATTAATAAAAATTATGGTAAGCAATGGAATGCCTTATTTTCTAAATGATTACTCGCAGATTTTGTCATCAAATATATATGTAAATACATAATTATTTTAAGTTCCAAATGTTATTATTTAGTCAGATATAAATGTCGACACAACAATGTATTTTTAGGTTTTAGTGTTCCAAACTTGTGTTAAATAAAATGAATTAATAAAATTGAATGGTTAATTATTTAGTTATTTAATAAATACCAAAAAAAAGTCTACTTTTAAGAAGGTGAGGAGGAATGAGGTAACGCTCAGGTAAGTTACCATTCCTGCCCATGAGTGAAATTGTACGTTTGTGGGTTTCAATTTGCCTTGATTTCTAGGGGGGTAACCCTTGCCCACGAATTTATAACCTTGACAATCAAAAGCTCTATCATTCTTAGAGAGATCTTTGTCAACGGAGATGTGTCGCCTGAACCAGTAGAGCAATCTAATTGTAATCCATGTATTAAGATTTTCTACAGTAGCTGATTTGGGTTATAATTGCAGTGTAGAGTCTTCCGAGTAGTTTGTTTAAAAGACTACAAATAGAAATTATTTGGAATTTGACATCTTTTTTCTATCAAATCTTGCCAGTCTATAAATTTATATAAAAAAAAAACCTTCATTATTTACAGTAATTAAATATTTGAAAATACACATCATTTGTTTTAAGTGAGAAACTATACTGAAGGTCGTTCTACATTGGCAATTTCTATCTAGTACATGTAACTAGAGTGTTCCAAGGAAGATTTGTGTCGCTATTAAAGATGCAAAGAAGTCTTATAGTGGTCAGCTATTTATTTGTAACTAGCAGTATAGTTCATGTACCTGCCTGCAAAAAAAAAAGAAGAAGAAGAAGAAGTCCATGGATAGTAAGAATGTGATAGAATTAGAAACACGAATCTCTCACCCTCAAAGCTATATAATAAATAATGAAATTGAAATTATTTTCTGTTTACACCAACAATCCTCAAAAAAATCAGACTTCCTTTACTGCAATAGTTAGTCTACCTGGTCATACAGCGTATTTTATTTTCATTTAAAACCTTTGGTGAGACCTATAAGTTTTGATCACTATTGTAATGATTTTTATTATTTTTCTTAATACATTGTATTTACGAGTAATAAAATCCTGTTCGAAACAAGTATTCTTATCTTTTCTCAATTTTGGTAAATTTACGAGTTTATATTTAAAAAAAAACAATTATTCGTTAATTACTAATGAAACAATATAAAATACATATTATTTGTTTAGAGTGACAATGCGTCGACTGGTTGATATTGGCTAGGTTGATATTGGGTAGTTAAAACAAATGTAAAGAAGAATAACTGATAAGTTCAGGATTTAGAACGGAACACCAATGTGCAGTACAGAACAGCAATAATTATTTTACTGCTCAGGTTTAAAACTTCTAAATAAAAAATATTTCACGAGATTCTAATGCTCGCCTGATCAGAAGATTTTTAATTGAACACATTACACTTTTTTGTTATTTCCTCACAACAGATTGTCAAAGGATCAAAATATATAATTTGCCTGTCTATGTGTGCATTTCCAAGTAATCGAATAATGTTCTATGAATTCGATTGGTATTTTATCTTTAAGTCTTATACTGCAGCGCAGCACTCACTATTTTTCAATTATGATTATATATTTTTTTTTTTAATTATTAGTTTTAATTATAACAATGTTCATGATTTGTAGAAAATAGATTCAACTCTGTTTTAAATTTTATACAGAGATTGTGAATAATAAGAGAAATACATGTATGTCTACATATCTTCGTACCAAAATTTCAATAATATACACCACGTTGGGGAACAAGTTCAAGTACATGTATGTCTATTACTTTGAATTTTGTCAATCTTGCTAGAGATGCATGGTGGACAGTGCGGGCAATATATTGATATCAGGTTTGACAGGTCAAGATTAAAAAAAAAATAAGATAAAAAACGATGTAAGCATAATATGGAGATTACCATTTGACTTTTTTAAAATGTTCCGTCTACTTGATCAATACGTAAGGATCACGGTGAGCGTGACCGGTCAACAGGAAATTCTTATTTCTCCTAGGCATGTGATCCCACCTCTGGTATTCCAGGGGTCCGTGTTTATGCCCTATTCACAGATCTGTATTGTTAGTTGATTTTTGATATCGAGATATCGATCACCGTTCATTATCTAAATATATTTCATCTCATACTTTATACAGATTTTTGCTCGAGAGATGAAGGCTATCGTTCCGGGGGGGGGGGGGGGGGGTAAAATAACATAGGTCAAGGGCAGTATTGGTTATTTACACTGAATTGTCTACGGATTTTCCCGTTATTTCCTGATTATGACAAGGAGCACAGGGTGGGTGTGACCGGTCGCAGGGGATGCTTACTCCTTCATGGCACCTGATCCGACCTTTGATGCTTTGGAGTTCCTTGTTTGTTCTAGCTGCTCCTTATTTGTATTGTTTGAATGTATTGTTTGGGTCCCCGGGAAGATTTATTCATGATCTACTTAGTTTGATCTACTTAGTTTAAAATATACTAGTATATTTTAAAGAAAATAACTATCAGTTATTAATACGGTTGAATGTTATGATTCACCTTAATTTAGATGAAATGATGCTGTATTCAACAACCAGCTGATAAAATTGTCCAATGTATTTATTGAGATGCATCAGTGTTCGTTATTTTCACCTTTTTCAATTCAATAATAAGTGTTATGAACCGTCTGATCGGGCGAGCTAAAATAAGGAAAAACTTCCTCTTTGAAACAGTGGATTAGATTACCTTATTAAATGCACCATAAAACTCACTGAAGATTACAAGTATTTATGTTTTACGGATATTATTTTAATTCATGAATCATTCTAGTTAACAAATATAGTGATAGGAATATGTCATGCAGTTTTGATTAGTTTCTAATATACACATACCATGGTCTACATTAAACATCCCACACTAAGAAGCATCTATGAAGGTCAATCACTTTAAATTCTAAATTAATTTCAAAAAAGGCACCGCCTGTGATTATTACTCTGAGTTTTACTTCGAATTTTTTCAATCCAACTTTCTCATTCTTTTCTTTCTCTGAATTTTTTTTGTTTGTCTGTCACTTATTTTTGCATCTTCCTTTTCTGTCTCTAATTTCTTTGTGTGTCACTGATTTTCCCATCTTCTCATCTTCCTTTTCTGTCTCTAATTTCTTTGTTTGTCTGTCAATGATTTTCCAATCTTCCTTTTCTGCCTCTAATTTCTTTCTTTGTCTGATAATGCTTTTTTTCATCCTCCTTTTCTGTTTCTAATCACTCATTTATGTTAAAGCAAGATTTCTCATTTCAATTCGGACAGATTATAAACAGATTTCAATGCTTTATATATATATAAAGAAGTGTCTTAAGAGAAGAAAAAATCGATGTTAGATTTGATCTGATAAAATATATTGAGAGTAAACTTTATTGTTTGTGGATTATATAATAAATAAATTAAACTCCATTGCTGTTTAGTATTGATTAAGTTGGCAC